AAGGACCCTGCCCAGGTGCCCTGACCCCAGCCTCCTCCCCAAATCCTGCTGAGGAGTGGCCCACGTCGGGCCTTGCTCCGCACAGCCCCAGACTCGCAGCCCCGGGCCCAGGGCCTGCTGCCCTCGCCATGGTGAAGCTGCTGCCGGCCCAGGAGGCGGCCAAGATCTACCACACCAACTACGTGCGGAACTCGCGGGCCGTGGGCGTCATGTGGGGCACGCTCACCATCTGCTTCTCCGTGCTGGTCATGGCCCTCTTCATCCAGCCCTACTGGATCGGCGACAGCGTCAACACGCCGCAGGCAGGCTACTTCGGCCTCTTCTCCTACTGCGTGGGCAACGTGCTATCCTCCGAGCTCATCTGCAAGGGCGGGCCCCTGGACTTCTCCTCCATCCCCTCCAGAGCCTTCAAGACCGCCATGTTCTTCGTGGCCTTGGCCATGTTCCTCATCATTGGCTCCATCATCTGCTTCAGCCTGTTCTTCGTCTGCAACACGGCCACCGTCTACAAGATCTGCGCGTGGATGCAGCTGGCCGCTGGTGAGCTGGGATGGCGGGAGGGCAGGCCCGGCCAGTCTCAGGCCCCTGCGGCTGCACCTCCTGCCCTCTGTGGCGACTCTGGGCCTCATCCTGAGCTGTCCTGCTGTACCCAGCCCTACTCAATGTCCTGCAGACAAATCCGAGAGGTAGAAATTCTTAGAATGGCTGAGGCTAAAAGAACCTTAGACCAGACTGTTCAACCCCCTTATCATACAGGTGAGGTACTGAGCCCAGAGCAGGAAGCAACTTACCCAGGAGCACACAGATCCTGGTAGAAGTAACCGGGCATCCTGACTCCTAGAAAGAAGGAAGCTTTCCAGTCCTGGGACCAAGTAGGAATGCAGGTTAGGCACAGTCTAGGGCCCCTCGTTTCCCACCGTGGGCCCTGTCCTTTCTCTTCCATGCATGCCTAGATCCCTGCCCTCACTCCCTGCCTCTCCCCGTCCTGTCTCAGGGAAGGTATTGATTCTGGAGTGTTCCCATTGTGCTGAGTGTGTCTGCTCCCATAGAAACTCTCATCTAGGGACCAGCAGTTAGCGTAATGGCTATGTCGCTGGACTCCCACGTAGTCGACTGCGGTTCGAGTCCTGGCCCCAGTGGCTTATTTAAAATGCTAAATTTTCAACTAAAATTATAAAACACATGAAGAGAACAAAGTAGGGTCATGCGTAGAGACAGAAAGAACAAAAAGTAGCCAGTAGAAACTACGTTGTTCCTACATGTTGAATTTAGTGCAAAAAGACTTAAAAGAAGCTATTATAGGGCTAGCTAGATGGAGTGGTGGTTAAGGTGGCTGAATCCCACATGGCCAACTGTGCAGTCCAAGTCCTGGACTCAGTAGCTTGAAACTCATGCTGGGCACGTGTGCATGCGTGCCCAAGATCCCGAGAGGAGAATGGAGGAGAAGGGATTGCGGCGTGGCCATCCCCCCTGGGGGGTGATTTCTCGCTTTCTGTCTCTGTGTCTCTTTCTGTCTTTCTGGCAAGTGTACACGTCATATAGCAAAAAAGAAAAAAAAAAAAAAGTCCCCTCTCTCACTCTGGAGTCAGCCTCTCAGTCCTCTGATTATGGCATTTCATACCGAGGCAGCGAATGGAGTGCTATTTTGTAGAGTGGAGAGAAGTTGACCAGGAGCCTTTAAAACTATGTGGCTGAGGTGGGGGCATTAGATGGCATAGCGGTTATGTTACTGGACTCCCACGTGGTCGACTGTGGTTTGAGTCCTGGACCTGGTAGCTTGAAACTCATGCTGGGTGCATGTGCATACATGCTCAAGATCCCAGGAGGAGAATGGAAGAGAAGGGATTGTGGCATGGCCGTTGCCTCTGGGGGGGATTTCTCACTTCTCCTCTCTCTGTCTCTCTCTGGCGAGTTCATGTGCTCTGTGGTAAAAACTAAAACAAAAACAAAAACAAAAACCAACAACAACAACAACAAAGAAAAACAACTGTGTGGGGGTAGGCATGGTAAGCGCCCACTTGTGGTGCCCTTGAGGCAAGGGTCTTCCCTATTCCTCTGCTCTTGGCTCAGCAGGCCTCTAGGTGCTTGGGCAGCTGCTCCTGTTTTTCTCTGGGGCCCAGGACTGTGTCCTGCAGACGTTAGTCTCGTGGTTCCTTGGCCCCTGACCATCCCAAAGGACTGCTGTGCCAGGAAGATGCCCAGGAGCATCGCGGGGAACTGGAGCCTAGAGGGAAACTGTCTCGACAGCCTTGGGTAGAATGAGAAGTGGTTTCGGGAACCAGCAGTTAGCGTAATGGCTATGTCGCTGGACTCCCACGTAGTCGACCGCGGTTCGTGTCCCGGACCCGGTGGCTTAAAACTCACGCCGGGCGCGTGTGCGTGCGTGCCCAAGATCCCGAGAGGAGAATGGAGGAGAAGGGATTGCGGCGTGACCATCCCCCCTGGGGGGAGATTTCTCACTTTCTGTCTCTATGTCTCTCTCTGTCTGTCTGGCGAGCGCACGCACCCTACAGTGAAAATCTCTCAAAAAAAAAAAAAAAAAAAAGAATGAGAAGTGGTTTTGTCTTAACAGAGACCTGAGTCCAGACAGACTCAAGACCACAGAGACGGAGGGGACCCAGGGGAGTTACACCCCTTCCACAAGTGTGGACGAGACATCTGGGGCTGAGAGGGGATTAGATTTGGCCAAGGCTATCTATTCCAGATCAGCTGGAAACTGAGGACCTAGGAGAATCAAGGCAGTGAGTCCCGAGAAACTAGGTGTATGCCAAAGACGTTTTTATCATGCCACACCCTCCATGAGTGTAATGATTTACAAAGTGTCTTCACTATGTCAACGGGAGGAGCCGCATCACAACCCAGTGAGGTGAGCGTCCCACCACTGTACAGATGAGGCTCCTGGAGGGTAACTGGTCTTTTTAAAAACAAACAAACAAACAAAACAAAAAACTGACTTTTTAGTTATCGTATCTTTTTTTTTTAAGAATTATTTTCTTTCTTTCTTTAATTTGACCAGAGAGGGACAGAGTGAGAGAGAAAGAGAGAGGGAAAGTGAGAAAGCAAGGTGCCAGATGTGGGACTTGAACCTTGGTTGGCCACGTGGGAGGCCACATGGGAGTCCAGTGCCCTTAACCACCATGCCACCTGCTGGCCCCGGGTAGCTCGTCTTTGAGTACATGGGTTGTGAGGAACAGAACTTTGATTCCAAATTTTGCACCCAGGCCCCTCATCTGACTTTGGGGCTGCTTCTAGAGCCCCCCTACAGCTCTCTGCCTTCTGCAGTCTCTGCATGACAAAGGAGAGGCTAGGGCTGGGGTGAGGCAAGTGTGGGTGGCAGCAGGGAGAAGGTAGACAGTGGCCATAGCAGGAAAGAAGGGCGAATGAAGATTTAGCAGTTTGATGCCAAAGAGGAGTAGTGTGGATTAGACAGCTGGACAGCAAAGATGGCGCCACAGCCCTCTTCTGCCATCCCAGTGTTGCCTGTCCCTACTCTCCCCTCCCCCAGTGGGAACATCTTATAGCAGGTCCCACTCGCTGAGCAAGCAGTGCCTGAAAGGCTTGGGTGGGGGAGGAGTCACTGGGCCATTTGAGTCAGACTTTATCTGGGTCACAGAGCTGGAGACATTGATAGCGGAGGTGGCCAGGTGCCACCCATGAAACATTTATGTTGAGGAGGGCAAGGGAGTGTCACGTTCCAGGCTGCTATGCCGGGGTAGGGGGGTGGCGGGTGCTGAGTGGCAGTGTGCTCTGCAGCCAGCAGCTGGGACTTGCAGCTTTTTGAAGAGGACTGCACCAGTTAGCTCAGCTCGCCAGGAAGGCTGGGGACAGGAACAGGGGAGGGGGCTGCGGGTGGGTGCCTGGGACGAGGTAGGGTTGTAGCTTCACCATGGCAATTAGCTCCTGGCGCTCCTGGAAACACAGGTGGGATAAGTCCCTCCACTTCTCTGAGTCGTGGCCACCTCACTCCTTAGCTCAAGCTGCTAGGACAAATTACCGTAGAGCGAGGGGCTTAGACAACAGACACGTGTCCTCACCGTTCCGGAGGTTGAAAGTCTGAGATCGGGGTGCCAACACGGTCACGCTCTGATGGGAGCCCTCTTCTGGGGTGCGGACCGCTGACTTCTCGCCGTGTCCTCCCTAGCAGGAAGAGGAAAGTTCTTTGGGATCCCTTTTATAAAGGCACTGAGCCTTCCAAAGGCCGAGCCTTCCCTAGTATCACGTGAGGCCTAAGGATTTCGACGTGTGAGGTTTGGGGGACACAGGATTCACACCGCTCTGCTGCTTTCTACAATGTGCGGTGTGCACCTGTGCAGTGGCGGGCACGTGGTCAGTGCCCGGGAAACGTGAAGCACACAGGGAACAACCGCATCAGTCGGGGGAGACGGGCTGGCACAGTCACGAACAACGCCAAGGCGGGGTGGCTTGAAACAAAGGCTGGGGCTCTGCTCTCCCTGTCCTTTGGAGGGGCCGGGCCCACAGCAGCAGCAGGAAAGGGAGCTGGAAGGTGGCCCACAGCCGTTGCGTGCTCTGGCCCAGACGTGCACACGGCATTTCTGCTCGGAGCTTGTGGCCAAAGGGGCTCATAATCGCATCTCACCTGATCCGAAGGGAGAGGCCAGGAAGAACAGGCCGGCACGGGTACCTGGACCTCTGCAAACAGCTCTAATAACACACACGTCCTCTGAGCGGCTTCCACACGACTCGAGTGTGGGTAATAATCGCAGCGACTGCCATTTCCTGACCATTTACCATGTCGCGGACACTGTAGAAAGTGTCTTCTATACGTGAGCACGCTTAGCCTTCATAGCCCTGCCACGACTCAGGTGCCCCCCTAATGTCCAGACGAGCGAATGGAAGTCAGACGGGTAAGCAACCTGGCCTGACAGCGCTGTGCGAGCCTCTGCTTGGAGCCGGCACACAAGTGGGGTACCCCCCCCCGTGCGCCCAGACCATAGGCGGGGGCTTGGCACCCACGACAACCCGTTTCCAAGTCAGAGCCCCACAGAGAGAGACCCTGAGGAAGGGGGCGGGGCCGAGGGAAGGAGAGCTGGGGAGAATGGAGAGTCTGGGGGGGCAGGTCCTGTCCGTGCTCACCTACACAGGGAGCATTTGTGGGTGCTCCCTCTAAGCTGGGGGCTGTGCCACTGACGGGCTGGTCTCACACCAAGAGGGGATTTTCCCAGAGAGCTGTGGGAGGTCTCCCCTCCACCACCCAAGTATCTTTCTGAAATGACACTTCTGTTTGTCCCAAAGTCGAAATGTCACCACTCAATATACTCAGTGCTTTGGAGAGATGTCACAGGGTGGTGAG